GAGGCGGAGGGTGGGGAGGGTGGGAGGGGAGCAGGGGAAGCAATGTGCTTCCTTTGCAGCTAGCCGTGGGTATGTAACTAAGTCCTGGCCAGTGAGATGCAAGTCTAAGGTGTTGGGTAAAACTTCTGGCAAAACTCCTTAAATTGGGGAAATAAAATTCAATAAAATTCCACTTACAATTAAAAAAACCCCACGAACAAGTAATAGAAAGGTAATAGAAAGGAACTTCCTTGATCTGATAAAGGGAATCCAAAGAAACCACTAGCTAACAACATACTAAATAGTGACCCATTGAAGCTTCCCGGCTAACATCATGAGCATAACAAGGGTGTCCTCTCTCACTCCTTCTGTTTAAAATTGCACTGGAGATCCTAGTCAGCACAATAAGTGAAGAAAAAGAAAGACGAGGCATAGATATTACAAAGGAAGAAGATGTTATTCACAGATGACATGATGATGTACATAGGAAATTTTAAGGAATCTGCAAAAAGACTAGAACTGAGGAGACAATTTATCAACGTTGCAGGATACAAAGTGAATATGCAAAATCGACTGCATTTCTACATGGTAACAACAAACAATTGGAAACTGAAATTTAAAAAATACCTCTAGGAATAAATAAAACAAAAGATGTGCAAGATTTCTACACTGAAAATAACAAAACATTGCTCAGATAAATTAAACAAGATATAAGTAAATGCAGATATATGTCATGTGAAATGATTAGAAGATTCAATATGTTTAAGATGTCCAATCTCCTCAAATTGATCCATGGTTTCAGTGCAATCTCAATCAAAATCTCAGCATATTTTTTGAAAAAATTGACAAGCTGATTCTAAAATTTATATGGAAATGCAAAGGACCTAGGATAGCCAAAACAAAAGAGCAAAGTTGGAGGATTTACACTCCTGTTTCCAAGACTTTTTATAAAGCTATTGTAAGCAATACAGTGAGGCATTAGTGTTACAAGGGGATATAGTCAATGGATCAATGAAACAGAATAGAACTGAATAGAGTATCCAGAATTAGACCTGCTCATATACGGTCAATTGCTTTTAAACAGAGAAATCAAAATAATTCAATGTGGAAAAAAAAGTCTTGCTTAACCAATAGTCCTAGAACAACTTAGTATGGAAACTAAAGATAAACCTAGACCTTTCTTCTCATTTCAAAAGCTAATTTGAGATCACTGGCCTAAACATAAAAGATTTAACCATAAATCTTCTAGAAAAAAACGTAAGATAAATCTTTGTGACCTTAGAGTAGGCAAAGGTTTCTTATGAAAAAAAATACACTAACCATAAAATTGAAAGTTGGTAAACTGGACTTCATAAAAATTTAAAACTTTTGCTTGACCAAATACATTGCTAGAAAGATAAAAAATACAAGCCACAAACTGGGAGAAAATATTTGCAGAACACATATTTGACAAAGAACTTGTGTCCAGAGTGCATAAAGAACTCTTATAACACAATAATAAGACAAACAATCTAATTTTTAAAACTGGGTAAAAGATTTGAAAAGATACTTCACAAAATAAGAAATAAGAATGCAAACACATGAAAAGATGTGCAACATCATTTATCATTAAAGAAATGCAAATTAAAGCTACAATGAGTTACTATTGCACACATATTAGAATAGCTAACACTAAAAAGACTGACAACAAGAAGAGTTACAAGGATGTGGAATATCTGGAACCCTCTCACACTGCTGTTGGAAATGCAAAATGGTACCTCCACTTTGGAAAATAGTTTGGTAGTTTCTTAAAAAATTAAATGTACATTTATTATAGAATTCAGCAATTCAAGTCTAGGTATCTAAGAGAAATAAAAACATACATCCATACAAAGATGTATATGAAAGTGATCATAGCAGCATTTTTCATGATAACCAAAAAATGGAAACAACCCAAATGTCCATCACTGGGAGAATGAATAGACAAAATGTAGTAAATCCACACAATGGAGTATTATTTAAAACAGAAAGGAACAGCCTGCTGATACGCGCAAAATCATAGATAAATCTCAAAAACATTATGTTGAGCAAAAGAAGCCAGACACAAAAGGTATGTAGTACATTATTCCATTTATATGAAATCCAAGAATAGGCAAAACCAATCTAAATGATAGTAATTGGAAAGTGGTTGCCTCTGAGGAAATAGAATTGACTGTAACGGAGCATGAGGGAACTCTCTGAGGTGATGCAAATGTTCCACATCACGTTTTGGGTACTGATTACATTGATATATTCAATTATTAGAACTCATCAAACTGAGCATTTCCGATGTGTGCATTTTAGTGTATGCCAATTACACCTTAAAAAGGGGGTGGGGGAAGACAGACATTGCCTTTTATTGATCTGCTCCTCTTTTCCTCCTTTCTTCCTACCGGTAATAAAGAAGTGATTAGTGCCCCAGCAGCCTTCTTGGACCATGAAGATAAAATCCAAGTGCCAAAGATGGTGGAGCAGAAAGAAAAAAGGCCGTAAGATCCCCGATGTCAGTGCACTTGCCATTCCAGCCTTGAATTGCCTTTTTCTGGACTTTCTTTATGTGAGAGACAGAAAAAAATCTGTACCTTTTTAAGCCAGTCTCTGATACTTGCAACCAAACACACTTCCTAAGAGTTACAATCAGTGGTAAATCCCCTCCATGATTAAATTATTTTTAGCTATGTTAGGTTATAATTGGGAACCACAATGAAATGTTTTTAAATGATATAATAAAAGTTCTTTGTCTTTTATAGAGATTGATACGTTTGGTGTATAAAAGTATTAAAAGTTAATATACATTTGGAAAGTCATTCTATACCTACTAGATGCATAGTAGTGAAGGGCTTGGTTTTGAACCAAACTAGATCTTGGTACAGATCACTGATTAGTCATGTGGCCTTTGGCAAATTACTAACCTCTTAGAGCCTCTGTTACTTCCTGTGAGTATAGTGATGATGAAACCTGCTTTAACTGCTCTTATTATGAAGATTGAATGAGGTCATTTATGTAAAACCTTCAGCACAGGGTCTGGCACGGAGCAAATGGTAGCTCTTTTTCAATATGATATTAAATGGTTTGATTTTGAAAAGGTCATTGACTGTACAGGTAAGCCATCGCAAAGCAACGTGCCCTTGACCATCACCTGCAAAATACATGGTTTTAAAAGCTTGTTACAGCTTCTTATAATGGAGTCACTGACTCATTTCCTACTGAATTTAACAGCAGTGAAGACTGCAAAGGCCTTCTTCAAGCAATAAGAGAAACCGACCTTTCCCAAAGTATGTCAGAGGAAGTTGCCAAAATTACTATTTTGGCAGAAGTCATTGTAGTGAAGAAAGAGTGAAGACTGCAAAGGCCTTCTTCAAGCAATAAGAGAAACCGACCTTTCCCAAAGTATGTCAACGGAAGTTGCCAAAATTACTATTTTGGCAGAAGTCATTGTAGTGAAGAAAGACTCTGCGTTATTGTCAAACAGCCTCAGAAACTCATGGTCACTGCGGATAGAAGGTCGCTAAGGCGCTGGGGTTGGGCACAATCCAGTGGAACCTACAGTGCAAGACTTGGTCCCCTTGTCTGCAGAACACAAACCCTAGTTTGCCACCTTCTGACCTACGCAGGGCAGCAGATGCTGCAGGGACCCAAGGTCAGAGCTGCGTAGTTAAGGCGGCCTCACTTTGGCTCCACACAGCCTCGGCGACCGAGAGGACTGCTGAGATCCAACCAGAGGCAGCGGAAACGCCAGGGAGGGAGCCAGCTCCTGGCAAGTGCAGCCCCGGAGGGTTATCTCTACCGAAAATCAGCGCGCAGAGACGCCAGAGAGTCACTCACTTACCTGCAAGGGTTGGCGATCTCTGCTGGTGTTGTTTTCATAAAAGGGGAAACAGGTTTTTCCACAAAAGAGCCAAAGCCCAGTCTAAAGTTGCTAGTTAATTTAGACATCTCCCTGGAAAGCAGGGAGCCCAGCTCTTTTATTGTGTTGAGGTCGTCGTCCATGGAGGCGGAGAGGTCCATGAGGTAATACAAGTCCACCGGGTAGTCCTCGGTCTGGCGGACGTGCACTTGCAGGGTCTGCTCTGCACCTGCGAAGGCCCAGCGGGGAAGCAAACCCATGAAACACACCGAGAGTTTTGTGCGACTGGCCAATCGCTGGGCCCGCCGGCTATTTCATTTCAATAAGAACTTATTGAAGATACTTAATGATTTCATGGACTATGTGGTAAAGTTTATAAATGAGCAAGCCCATGGAAATCTTTCAGCAGTGAGTTTAGAGCTACTGAAGGAGGTGTAAGTTAGGATATTTTATATGTCCTTGGGAGAACTCGCATCCATTTAGATGGAAGATAAGCTGAATTTCTGTGTGTGTCGTTTTAGAAAAGTAGAACCAAATAAAGGGGAGTTTAAATTTACATTACAACCCTTGAGGAAATGAGAAGTAAGTCGTAACAATATTTGAGTAATTCACATGGTTACTGTTAGAGAGATTTCTTAGTTGCATATTTGGGGTGCAAGTGACCCATGCGAATAAAGAAAAGCGTTAGCCTAACAATTTTCTGTTCCTTAAGAATGAGAAATTGGAGTCATAATAATCAGTGATATGTAATATAGTGCAATATATATTAGTGGGATAGCAGTATTACATACATGATGTTAGATTCATTTACATGAGCCAATACAGAAGAGAGGTAACTCTTCTGTTAAGAAATCATAACATACCTGGTCTCAATTTAACAATCAAGCTTTGAGGTGCAATCTGAACAATGTCAGAACTATTTTTCTGTCTGCCTACACTGAGAGGCTTATTTTTAAGTATTTCTATTTGGGAGACAGGATTTTCGATGAAGGTTAATTGACATCCTTTAGCTAAAAGATTTGCTGGGGTATCACACCTTTCACCAACTCCAGATAGATGGGTAAAATTCTAAAAAAGAAAAAAAAAAAACAATAAGGAGGAAAAGAAGACAAATCTGCAAATCTTTATAAGATACCAGCAATTAAAGTTTTTTACATGCTTTGCTAATTAAGTAACTTGCCATAGTACACATATCATATTCCCATAAAACCTGACATTAATTGTAGGTCCAAAATTAAGTTATAGCCAAATAACCAGAGAGTTTTGCCGGTAAAATTCTGAGCAAAAGTGGAGTCTCCTTTTAATTATATTCAATTGAATTCATGTAACTTTTTTTTTAAATAGCTCAGTTCTTTAAAGTTTCTTCAGTGCTATGACCAGGTCCTTGAAACATTTGAGTTCATAGAGTTGCAGTCATCCTGTGAATTTATCTGTTCAGAACAACCTGTAGGTTTGTGGAATACTAGGACAGTTCAAGCACTCCAGTGTGTTTATTTCCAAATCCAGTGACAAAGAGATTTTTCTCTGGATTCCTAAAGGGCAAGGATTGTGACTTCTCTCCATCTAGCGCTCTGTACCAGTTTTATTCACTGGTGTGTTATCCTTACATTACAGCATTACTTCACTAAAATTGATTTCTTGGGGACTTTAAACTCAGTGTCTTAAAGTGTTCAAGGTCTTATACAACTTTCTCCAAGATCTGAAGGTAAGGAAGGGAAATAAAAGAGAAGATGGGTTAAAAGCCTGCTTCTCTGTGTAGGACTCAGGAGTTTCCCAAGCCCTTCAGATGCACCTGAGTAGCAGGGGACAGTGAGATGTAGTGTTTTCCAACAAAAAAGTGGCCATTCCAATTCTGGAACACCCAGAACAGAGAAATGGACCAAGAGATAAATACCTGTCTTATCTGATAGTCAGGGCTGCTCTAAAGCTGGGGAGACACTAGGCAAAATTGATCTTGAGACCCATTGACTCTCATGCTGAGAGACAAACAGACTTGCTTGTGTTTTCTCCTTACCCTTTAGAATTCTAAGCCACTCTTGCTTTTTTCGCCAAGTAAGAAAGTTACATTTCTTCTGAAATTGATTTTTGAGAATATCATTTCTGAGAACAGCATCATTTTTGAGAATAGCATCAGTCAGGCCTGTGCATATTTGAGGTTCTAGGCCAGGCATGGCAAACTCTATAACTTCCTACCATGTAAACAAGGCAAACTGTCTGGACAAGGCCTCAGAATCATTCTTAACACAGTATCACTGCTGTCACCTGTAGTTATAGCCTTTGCTGAAAGATCAGAGGTGGTGATAAACATGGAACCTATTTTCTATCTGCCCTAAAGAAGCCTGATTTCCTTTTTGCTCCAACTGCCTCAACTTATATGCTGATAACTACTTCTACTATTAGAGTGGCCTCTTAGAATAACCTGGCCTTAAAATTTGACAATAATTTGGCTACCAAGTATCCACAAGTAAAACTATCAGCAGTAATTTAGGAAGCTCTCTTAAATGAATGCTAAAAAATTCATTTAAGTAAAAATTCTAGACTGATTTGTTGTTTTATGTCTTTGGCATGAAACTAATGTTATCTTCTTCAGGGAGTCAACTTCCAAAAATCATATGGGTTTTTCCCTCCTTGTATATTCTCTATCCTGCTTTTGATACATGAGCTCAGAAAAGCACGATTGCCTTGAACTTTTGTCTGTGGCCACATTGGTCAAGGCAGTAGTAGGGGAGTGAGCTGGGTTTGTGCTCTTGTCTGTGAGACTGCTCCCCATGGATACATACTCATCTTGGAACTTGGGATTTAACAGTCACAGCCTAGTTTTGAGTTGGGTGTCTAGGTTTGTTTCCCTTTGAGCATGCTACTCAGCTCTTGCTGAATTTGGCATTTGTATGCTTTCATTTGTGTTTAGTTTCTCTTTATGAGATCCAGTAGGTGGAGACTTATTTTAAAATACAGAGAGCTAATGCATCTCTTTCTTACCATGAATCATTTACAGATTGCTCTACAGTGTCACAGGACAGGCGGTGACTTAGGATGGCTTGTTATATATTTCCCAATCATCTTCATACTACTTTTACACAGTTTTCAGTTTGACCAAATAAGGAATGTCTGTTTTGGGCTTTGTCATCAAGGTGGTACAGAGTCACTGAGCTCATGAAAATGTAATTTTGAAAAGAACTCAGTAATGTCTGAACAGTAATGTTTACCCTAAACCTAGAACACTTCTCTTAGAACTTAGCAGTGGTTCAGGATGGATCCTGATTCCCAGATGGAATACAACTATGATATTGACATCAAATATGTGTTTAACTTCAGAAAATATCATCTCCATTATCTTTGATTATCCAGACAACCTCAATATTTTACAGGTAACCAGTTAGAAATGGCTGTAATATAAGAGAAGGAACCAGGTTAATTAAGAATCCTGAGTTAAGTATTTTTCCAGAATAATTTGACATCCACTCCTTCCACAATTGTTTTTGAAAGTAGTCACGTGATCCACTAATACTTACATTTTCCTTTTCTTATTTGTTTGACTCATATAACCCCACAGAAAACAGGACACTATCAGAGCTATCACTGAGAAAGTTAACATATGTGTAACTGCAAACAGTTTTTAAAAACATGTTGAGGCCATTTGTTTTACCTCCTGAGAACACCAGGCACACTGAGGTCCAATGAGTAAGCAGTCTTCACAGGTTTCTGCACCTCCCAAGGCACAGCCACCTATGTTTAAACCCAGCAGGACACAAGGAATTAAGTATACTTCCAGTCATTCCATTTATGAGACTATGGCTCTTAAATAACTTGAACAAAACAATATCAATGCTTATTTCAGTCTTCAAAGACCAATTCTCAAAATGTTAGCAGTTTACATATAAGTTTATATTTTACATCTACCACACTGAAAATGTAGGTCTTATAAGCCAAAAAATTAGCATTCTTTTTTTTTGTCAAAATGTGAAAATATCTAAATATTCACAAATACAGGATCATCCTATTTATTAGCTTTAGTCAGTATCTGCCAATATAATTTTTAAAAATTATTTGCCCCCATTAAAAAATACTTCTCTCTAAATGTGGTATTTCTGTTTTTGAAATAAATCTTTTTTTTTCCTCTCAAGGTTATTACTTATAAGTAGAAGGCTGGTATAATAAAATAGAAAAGTTTCTGAAATGCTTGTCATTATGGCATTAAGAAGTCCTATTGTTCAGTAATGTTGTTTAATTCTCCTCATTGAAATGCCTGTGCAACCTCTCTATTTACTTACCTTAAGCTTAGAGCATTCACTGTGGGAACAGCCCTGTGTTTACTTGTAATATCTTAAAGTGTTCGCTCAGTAGCAAAAGAACAATTGAACAGATCAAATAAAAAATGACTTTAGATTTAGTTTCTGAATCAAATGACAGGTTTGTCAAGCACACCACGAGAGCAATATATCACAGAACTCAGGTCTTACCTTGCACGCGATCATTGCTTCTTAGAAATAGAAAGAACAGGCAAAGCAGTTCAATCCCCATTCGTTTCAGTTCTTGCTGTGCAGACAGATTAAAAAATGAATTACCTTCAACGGTACAAGTCCAAAGCTGAATATCATTAAACTCTTTCGTTCTTGCACTGTAAAATTTTAAGTACTACTTACACTGCTTTGAAAAGAAACTTGAGATGTAAATTTAAAAGTTTTCATTAAGACTGAAATGAAAACAGAGGTTACCTGGACAGGTAAAGAAGAAAAGCTGTGTTTAAAAGCAACTTCAACATGATTTACTTCCTTGTTCTCCTTATAAGGAAGGCAGGTGTACAATCACCAAGAAGGTGGGGAAATCCATTCAGTAGAAATTTTTGTGTAAATTCTATTGGTCTCTCTGCATCCTAGAGAAAGTTAATATCTTTAGTAAAATATTGATCAATAAAATTCAAAAGAGCAATGGAAATATGATTGTTTCTAAAAAAATTTAAATTTAATATACACAGTAAAGATGTTAAATAAAACACAGGTATATATCCTTTTATGTAAGGAGAGTAAAAAAAATGAGCTAAATGAAAATACCTGAGATTTTTGTATTTCATTGGTAAATCCTTCGCAGAAAATTAAAATGAACTCTGAAAAATAAAATTTATTATTTTACAGTCAAATTAGAAGGAAGGCTAGGGAAAGCAAAACACTGTGTTTTCTTATTTTTCAAATTGAATGAAAGATATTTTTCTATAAGTTTAGAGTTCTTATTTAAGAAGTGATATTGGAAATAAATATAATACATGAAAATCAAATAACATCAAAATTAAATAGACTCAAAACAACAACAATAATGGAAATAGAAAAAATGGTGCCCCAGATTCTGAGTCCCTCAGGGTAGGAACCAAGTTCTCTTTCCAAGGTGCTGTCCCAGCCTCTAGCTCATGACTTGGCACATAGGAGGTATTTATTCATTAAATGAAAGAGTGACAATTCAAAATGTATACAAGCTATGACTAACTTCATGAGATTGTTTGTATTTTTACCCCCAAAAAACACCAGGAAGGTGTTTTGGGATTTGTAGAAACTGCACATATTCACTTTGTCAATCTTTTAACTGACCTGACCTTAGACTGGCTTCTTTGTGGCTGGGCTTATATCCTAGGAGATTAACTTTTAAAGGTGTATTTCTAGGCAAGAGTGTGAAACCTATAAAGAGAGAAAAACTAATTATAGACTGCTTAGGTTCTTCTCAAAAGCTTATGTTCAATTTTGAGCTCCGTTATACACAAGAACCTGGAAAAACGTGGCAAGAATCCCGCAGTGAGAATCCAGAATTATTAAAGAGTTGGAAGATGTGACTTTAGAGAGAAAACTGCAGTTGTATGCAATCAGTAGATTTAACTTGAAGAGGATAGATTGGGGCACAAATTATCTGTGTCCTTGAACTTGCCTCCATTCATTTATTCAATATTAGCTGTTATTTCATTCATTCACCCATTCATTTGACAAGTACTTACTGTCTACTTTGTGTCAAATGTCATTCTTGAATCAGAGGCTATGTCAGTGGACAAAACCAAGACCTTGACTCATGCAGCATACATTCTAGGCTGAAGGGCAGTGGGGGAAAGACAGACTCTTAAAATCAGGCAGTGATCAGGGCTACGGAATATAATAAAGTTGAATAAAAGGAAAGAGGGGCTCAGAGGGTGTGTTACTTTATTTAGGATAGTCAGGGAGGGTTTTTCTGATTAACTGACATCTAACAAAACCCTAGATGACTCGGGTAACATAGCAAAGTGAAAAGGCCCTGAGGCAGCGCTGTGCTAGGCACTTTCAAGTGCAAGAGGAGTGCAGAAAGGGAAAGGGAAGGAGGTCAGGTTTGGAAGCAGAGGTCAGATCATATGTAGTCTTGACCTTGAATTTTATTTTAAACATGTTAGAGTGTCATTGGAAGGTTGAAAGCAAAGGAAAGATATTTAATTTACATTTAAAAATAATTTACTCTGGGCCTCGGGCCTCAGCCATGCCCCCCAACACCTGCAACCAGCCCAGCAATGACCAAGCCACCACTGGAAGCCCCCTGGTCTCCTCTGCAGGAATGAGGGGGCATCAACCCTGCCCCTCCTCTTTCCTCCTTCTCCCACCATATTGCCTTCCCCTTTCCCCTCAACTGCTCCGTAACAACATCATAGAATGTAAAAAATATATATATTAATAAACTTAAAAAAATTAAAAAATTAAAAATAAAAAAATTACTCTGGCTGCTGTGGAAGTTATGATGTATAAGATCAAGATGATGTTTAAGGGCAAGATTGGAAGGTATGTGGGGCAAGATAGGAATTTATGGCTGTTGTTGAGGACAGAGACAGAGGTGGTTGGGACTAGGGTATTGGTGATGTAGGGAGGGAGGTGGTTAGATTCAGGATATATTTTGGAAACAGACAGTGCTTATGGATTGGATGTGGATCTGAAAGAAAGAGGTTTTTGGCTTATGCAACAGAGTGAATGATACTCTTTACTAAGAAGGGTTATACTGGGGAGGGAGCAAGTTTCATGTGGAGGAAGAGAATGAAGAAACTAATAAGTTTGAGATGCCTAGAAGATAACCAAGCGAAGATGTTATACAGACAGTTCGATATCTAAGTCAGGAAATGGGGGCAATGTCAAAGTGTAAGCTGTAAATTTGGGATCATCCTCACAGATTTAAAGACATGAGACTGATAGTATTTAAAGATACAAGGCTAATGAGATCCCCAAGGAAGCGAATGCAGATAGAGAGGGGCTCTGAGGACAGCCCTGAGGCCTGCTAAGATTTCAAGGCCAGGAGGAGGATCCAGTAAAGGAAGGTGTTATGTAAAGAACATTCCATCTTGCTTAAAAGGAACCTTTCTTTGTTGAAAGGCAATTCTCCAAGTTTCTGTCATATTTCTGCTCATCTTACAAACAGAGGCACTGACTGCCTTTATTCTGGACTATCTTTTCAAGGATGTTTATCAAATGAACAGCCTCGGAGGATAGAGATAGTGTCTTTCTTGAGGGCAAAGGGAAATTTCTTACAGCTTTGGAAGATAGAGATAGAGTCTATTTCCAAATTAAGGAGCAGATTTGTGTATAGCTTGGGAAGATAGAGATAGTGTCACCCTCCAGAACAAAGAGCAGTGATGCTTACTGCCCATTATAAACGGTTCGGGTGCACTAAACTTAGGGTTCCTCTCTTGTAACATAGCCCCACTGCATATGCAGGTGACACCTCTTCCCTTTTGTGCCATCCTATAGGAGTTGGGGTTGGGGAATTGGCAAAAGAAAGTGCTGATGCTCTGGTCATTGCTATTGCTGTGATTATAAAGTCCTTTATCTCTGACCCAGGCATCTCATATCTCTGCCGGTATCCATGAATCTGTGACAAGGTAACTCATGAGCTTGCAAGTAAGGTAAAAGCTCAGGCCCTTCAAGGTTCTTGACAGTCTCCTACTCAGAGCTCAGCTCTTTATGCAGACTGAGCATGCAATGTTGAAACCTCACCTTGGAAGAAAAGCTCTTGCATCCCATAAGACTGCCCTCGGTTGCTTTATGGAGCACTTACCAAGTGCCAGCCACCGTTAAACATTTTATTATTGCCCTATTTCGTTCCCACAAAACCCCTATAAAAAAGGGGACTATTTTACTTCCATTTACCAGATAAGAAAACTGAGGCACAGAGAATCTATTCAACCTGCCTGAAATCACACTGCTGCTGAGGAAGAAGAGTCCTGGAGACAGGCCGCTGCCCTCCAACCTGAGTCCAGAACCACTGTGCAAACTGCCTCCTGGTAGATGAGAGATGTTCGTACAGTCTTAAGAAAGCTGCCAACAACAAATGGAATTCTACAAGGAACTTTAAGAGTATGTATGTGTCTCTATCTCCAGACCTTTCGTTCCAGCTCTAGCTCTGTATCTAGCTATCTATCTCCTTTTGGTTCTGTTTGTTGTTCATCTTGTGGATTGTTCACCATCAAAAATGAGACAAAGATGTAGTCCTGGACTGTGCAGTCCCTTTTTATCTCTTCTCTGGTTAAAGTCCAGTACCAATCTTTTTAAAACAAAACAAAACACCACATGCTGCCTGGCCTGTCAGGGGAGACTGAAACCGCTGGTCAGGAGCCAGGCCTGGCAGTGAGTTCAAGAGAGGACGGTCATGGGCATTTCCTGTGGCCGGGAAATGACTCAGGATTAACTCCTGGTCCTTGAGCTGCAGCCACCCTCTGGACTTCACAATGCCCACCACCCCCAGCCCACACTGGAGCTCAGCATCACTCTGCTAGTTAAAGGCAGCTGGTCCTGTGCGTTCGTCCTGCCTGAGAAGCCAACTCACGTCAGGGTTTGGAAATTCTTTTGAAGTCTAAAAGAACCGAGCTCCTTCTGTGTTTTAGTTTGTGGAATACGTCCAAAGACGAGACTTTCCAGAAAATACCAGGGAATATGAATTTATTGTGAGGCGACTCTGAGATCTAGACTCTTTCTGCTCCTTATTTCCTATCCGTGCAGCACAGGTAGGTCAGGGCAGGAGGTCCACGTGAACAGACATCGACTCCAAGTGATTCGCTCATCCACAGCTTGCATTCTTTCATCTTTTTTTAAAAAAAGATAATTCAAGAAATCTAACCAAGGGTTAGGATTCCTTGGTTTTGAACAAATATTTTTTCTGATAAGTACTGTCTCTTACTCATGGGGCTGCAATTATTGGGCAGTGGTGTGACTAGTAAACAAGGATTCTGATCCATTTACTCACACACTCAGCAGCATCTATCTATTGAGATGCTACTATGTGCCAGGCATTGTTCTGGGAACAGTGTTGATTAAAACTGGCAATGTCTGCCTCATGGAGTTTGCCTTCCAGTCAGAGAGACAAAAATAAAGACGTGGGGTGGTGATAAGAGCTAAGAAAAATAAAGAAAGGTAAGAGGTCAGAGAGTGGCTGAGGTGGGGTGGCCAGGGAAGCCTCTCTGCCAAGGTGGCATTTAGGCAGAGCCCTAGGGAGATGAAGGAGGGAGTGTGGCGTAGTTGTCTGGAGGAAGAGCAGTC